CTGTGCTTGGGTTCAACTGCAGCAACACCCCTAAGCCAATAAAAACCCCAAAAAAAACCCGCAGCGAAATAATCCAAAACCCCCATCCCGGGCAACCACCCTCCCCTCTTCATAGTCTAAACTTACTCCCGTTCAGTACATCCAACTACATGTGCAATCTACTTAAAGGGCCCTTAAAAATTCTTTCTTGATAATTGTAAAAGGATCCCGGGCCAACCCCAACACAAACATCTCAGAAATTCCCCGGGTTCGTAACCTTTACAAAAATTCAATGTATTTAAAAGGCCTAAAATCTGGAAACCCTCCCTGAAAACTCTAGAACTGCAATGCATTCATCACTTTCAAAACTACATTGAAAACTCTTTTCCCGAATCCACCCCGCAAAAAAATACAGAAACCACCGGGTTCACAATTACACCCATCACCTATGACTTAAAAACCCCAGAAATACAATCTTTTTTAAAATATAAATCCAACTGATAATTTTTGCCTATGATACTCCAATATAGACACTTTGTATTGTGCCAAAACAAAAGCATTCACATTGCTAAACTCACAAATTATGATGTAGTCACTTAGCCTTAATACCATAATCTGTAAGGATTTAATGTTAAGAATTAATCTAAGTCTGCTCGAAATGCCTAGCATGCTAGGTGTCCTAGTGGCCCCCTCTGTAATTAGTATTTTATAACATGTAAACCACACAATACCCAAAACCTGTAAACCCCGCATTGTAACCCTTATAGAGAATAAACTTGAATTGAATTGAATATACACATGTGGAGAGGTGAGCACCCCATACCAAAGATTACCACACCAGCTGCCTGTCACAAATTACACTGTATACTATGGGGAATAAGGTCAGTACCCCACTGATTAAAGTACCCCCTGAAGTGGTGCGGCTGGCTTCAGGCTCGGTTCACAGCTGAACAAGGGACCCCTAACCTGACTCGACTATGATCCCACAAACCCTGCCTAATTCCCCACATTTGTGACTTGTTATTTTTTGAAATGTGGAGAGAAATTTCCTTTTTTTTTGTTTAGAATGACATTAAATAAGAAATTTTCCATTACAGAAAAATAAGAAAAATTTGATGGGAAACAAATAAATTCTTGGGTTATACTAGGTGTCAGTGCATCATTGAGAGACTGTCATATTTCCATTGGGGTCCTCAGGATGTCATCCACACAGTCAACAAACACCCAGGTACCTACCTACTTGCTAGGTGAACAGGATTAGTGTAGGTAATGGGTCCAATGTTTCCACCCCTGCTGGGAATTAAACCTGGACCCCTCAGTTTGTGAAGAAAGAGCTCTGCCAGCCAGGCCATGGGGCCTGGCTGACTTTATATTGAATTACAGTGGAACTTCGGTTTTCATGATTAATCCATTTGAAAAAATCTGAAGAAAACCCATATCATATGAAAACTGAAGCAATATTTCCCATAAATAATGTAAATCCAATTAATCTGTTCCAGACACCCAAAAATATTAACAAAAAATACATTTTACAGAGAATAACTGTAGTTTTCCTAGGTAGTAAGTTGGTAGACAACAACCACCCAGGGAGGTACTACTGTCCTGTGGTAGTAAGTTGGTAGACAACAACCACCCAGGGAAGTACTGTCCTGTGGTAGTAGGTTGGTAGACAGCAACCACCCAGGGAGGTACTACTGTCCTGTGGTAGTAGGTTGGTAGACAACAACCACCCAGGGAAGTACTGTCCTGTGGTAGTAGGTTGGTAGACAACAACCACCCAGGGAGGTACTACTGTCCTGTGGTAGTAGGTTGGTAGACAACAACCACCCAGGGAGGTACTACTGTCCTGTGGTAGTAGGTTGGTAGACAACAACCACCCAGGGAGGTACTACTGTCCTGTGGTAGTAGGTTGGTAGACAACAACCACCCAGGGAGGTACTACTGTCCTGTGGTAGTAGGTTGGTAGACAACAACCACCCAGGGAGGTACTGTCCTGTGGTAGTAGGTTGGTAGACAACAACCACCCAGGGAGGTACTACTGTCCTGTGGTAGTAGGTTGGTAGACAACAACCACCCAGGGAGGTACTGTCCTGTGGTAGTAGGTTGGTAGACAACAACCACCCAGGGAGGTACTGTCCTGTGGTAGTAGGTTGGTAGACAACAACCACCCAGGGAGGTACTGTCCTGTGGTAGTAGGTTGGTAGACAACAACCACCCAGGGAGGTACTGTCCTGTGGTAGTAGGTTGGTAGACAACAACCACCCAGGGAGGTACTACTGTCCTGTGGTAGTAGGTTGGTAGACAACCACCACCCAGGGAGGTACTACTGTCCTGTGGTAGTAAGTTGGTAGACAACAACCACCCAGGGAGGTACTACTGTCCTGTGGTAGTAGGTAGGTAGACAACAACCACCCAGGGAGGTACTACTGTCCTGTGGTAGTAGGTTGGTAGACAACAACCACCCAGGGAGGTACTACTGTCCTGTGGTAGTAAGTTGGTAGACAACAACCACCCAGGGAGGTACTACCATCCTGTGGTAGTAAGTTGGTAGACAACAACCACCCAGGGAGGTACTACCATCCTGTGGTAGTAGGTTGGTAGACAACAACCACCCAGGGAGGTACTACTGTCCTGTGGTAGTAAGTTGGTAGACAACAACCACCCAGGGAGGTACTACCATCCTGTGGTAGTAGGTTGGTAGACAACAACCACCCAGGGAGGTACTACTGTCCTGTGGTAGTAAGTTGGTAGACAACAACCACCCAGGGAGGTACTACCATCCTGTGGTAGTAGGTTGGTAGACAACAACCACCCAGGGAGGTACTACTGTCCTGTGGTAGTAGGTTGGTAGACAACAACCACCCAGGGAGGTACTACCATCCTGTGGTAGTAGGTTGGTAGACAACAACCACCCAGGGAGGTACTACTGTCCTGTGGTAGTAAGTTGGTAGACAACAACCACCCAGGGAGGTACTACTGTCCTGTGGTAGTAGGTTGGTAGACAACAACCACCCAGGGAGGTACTACTGTCCTGTGGTAGTAGGTTGGTAGACAACAACCACCCAGGGAGGTACTACTGTCCTGTGGTAGTAGGTTGGTAGACAACAACCACCCAGGGAGGTACTACTGTCCTGTGGTAGTAGGTTAGTAGATAGCAACCGCCCAGGGAGGTACTACTGTTCTGTGGTAGTAGGCTGGTAGACAACAACCACCCAGGGAGGTACTACTGTCCTGTGGTAGTAGGTTGGTAGACAACAACCACCCAGGGAGGTACTACTGTCCTGTGGTAGTAGGTTGGTAGACAGCAACCACCCAGGGAAGTACTACTGTCCTGTGGTAGGAGGTTGGTAGACAGCAACTGCCCAGGGAGGTATTACTGTCCTGTGGTAGTAGGTTGGTAGACAACAACCACCCAGGGAGGTACTACTGCCCTGTGGTAGTAGGTTGGTAGACAGCAACATCCAGGGAGGTACTACTGTCCTGTGGTAGTAGGTTGGTAGACAGCAACCACCCAGGGAGGTACTACTGTCCTGTGGTAGTAGGTTGGTAGACAGCAACTGTCCAGGGAGGTACTACTGTCCTGTGGTAGTAGGTTGGTAGACAACAACCACCCAGGGAGGTACTACTGTCCTGTGGTAGTAGGTTGGTAGACAGCAACCACCCAGGGAGGTACTACTGTCCTGTGGTAGTAGGTTGGTAGACAGCAACCACCCAGGGAGGTATTACTGTCCTGTGGTAGTAGGTTGGTAGACAACAACCACCCAGGGAGGTACTACTGCCCTGTGGTAGTAGGTTGGTAGACAACAACCACCCAGGGAGGTACTACTGTCCTGTGGTAGTAGGTTGGTAGACAGCAACTGTCCTGTGGTAGTAGGTTGGTAGACAACAACCACCCAGGGAGGTACTACTGTCCTGTGGTAGTAGCTTGGTAGACAGCAACTGCCCAGGGAGGTACTACTGTCCTGTGGTAGTAGGTTGGTAGACAACAACCACCCAGGGAGGTATTACTGTCCTGTGGTAGTAGGTTGGTAGACAACAACCACCCAGGGAGGTACTACTGTCCTGCCAAGTGAGTGTAAAACGGAAACCTGTAATTGTTTTACATGATGGTAGGATTGCTGGTGTCTTTTTCTGTCTCCTAAACATGCAAGATTTCAGGTACGTCTTGCTACTTCTACTTACACTTAGGTCACACTATATATACATGTACAAGCGTATATATACACACACCCCTCTGGGTTTTTTTCTATTTTCTTTCTAGTTCTTGTTCTTGTTCATTTTCTCTTATCTCCATGGGAAAGTGGAACAGAATTCTTCCTCCGTAAGCCATGCGTGTTGTAAGAGGCGACTAAAATGCCAGGAGCAAGGGGCTAGTAACCCCTTCTCTTGTATAAATTACTAAATTTCAAAAGAGAAACTTTCATTTTTCTTTTAGGGGCACCCTGCCTTGTGGGATATGGCCAGTTTGCTGGAAAAAAAAAAAAAAAAAAAAAAAAAAAAAAAAAAAAAAAAAAAAAGTTTTACATATAAACTAGGGCATACAAAAACTGAGGCTTGGCTGTATATAAATTGAGAAATTATCCATCATAGAAAATGGAGATATTTCATTATAGACTTTATAGGGCATTATAGAAAATAGGAAATTATGCATAAATGCAAACTTGATGGGTGACTTAAATTTTGAAATGTGGAGTGAAATTCTCATACATTTTATTTTCAATCACAGAAAACAAGAAATTTTCCATTATAGAAAATGCAAAAAAATTCAAGACTTAAAATTTTTGAAATATGGAGAGAATCTCCATAAATTTTATATAGAAAATGGGAAATTTTCCTTCAGAGAAAATTTTATTTAATGGGTAACACTTAAATTCTGAAATCCTCCAGAAATGATCCCAGCTACTTATCACCCCTCATACACAGCCAAGTGATGTATAATCCCTTTAAGTTTAGCACTCTAACCTCTATAATGTAACAATGTAATGTCGTAACTGGTCAAAGAACAGTAAATAAACAAAATAAATATTTTAAGGAATTTATTTTAGCAGTCAATTATGTCTGTTAGAGAGACCAGCAGAGAACCTGGTATGACCCAGTGAAACATGTTCAGTACCAGGCTGGTATGACCCAATAAAGCATGTTCAACTCCAGTACCAGGCTGGTATGATTGAACATGGAAAAACAAACACATAAGCAGTACAATGTGATTCTTTATTGACAACGTTATGCCCACACAGTGGGTTAATCAAGTCACAAACAGATCTGTTTGTGACTTGATAAAGTCCACTGTGTGGGTGTAATGTTGTCAATAAAGGATCACATACTGCTTATGTGTTCATTTTTTCATTGTCGGTATTTTATACCATTTACTTCAATGACTGAACATGTTCAAGACAACTCCGGTACCAGGCTGTATAATTCAGTACAAGGCTGGTATGAGCCACTACAAGGCTGGTATGATTCACTACAATGCTGGTATAAATGAACACATACAACACAAGTACCTACATAAGTTAACAGTAGAAGCAGTTTAAAAAAACAATAAAATAAAACCAAACGTTAACATATAACTTAGATGCATCAATCACACTCCAGATCATTAATTCTCCGTCAAGCAGCTATTTATGCAGCTCAACACCATCCAGTGTGTCCTTGTATCCAGGAACTCAAGACTTAACTAATTAAGAGAAGGGTGGATGGGAGGTTCGAATTATGATCCTGAACCCGCTAAGCTTAGGACCATGGTTCAAACCTCCTGTTCACCTTTCTGTTGATTTATCATCGGTTTTCCATTATGACTAAAAATGAGACATAATTAAGAGGAATGTGCAAAGGGAGCATAATGCGATCATCCGGTGGCGGATGATCCATCATCTCTGATGTTTTGCTATCGTGTGTTGCAAAGCTGATACAATAATAATTATAAATATTACAGTGGTAATTATTTGGTATACAAGCTCTTAAACAATCCTTAAAAATAACCCCACTTGTAACCCAAGCAACGAGATTCATCATTGACGGCCAAGGTAACATGATTCATCTCTGATGACCAAGGTAACATGATTCACTGTTGACGACCAACACATGATTCATCATCACTAAGGTCTGATTAAAGCACCAGTCAGCTTATCAGCTTACTTAATATTACTATCATCAATAACTTAAAACCACCATAAAATATTCACTATTACATTGCTCATTTATTTTAAAAATTAAGCAAACTTTTAGAAAATGAATTTCCCATCACTATACAATGGTAAGCACAGTGCTATTAATTCCCTCCTTTTCAAGTAAGCAAAATAAGTTACGATTGTATTTACACTTATAATAAATATCTATTACAAGTACACTTGTAGCGAGTGTACCGAGGACTGATGGAAGCAACAAGTTCTGAAATGAGTGAACTTGGTTCAGGCAAGTTCGACTCCATTATTTCAGCAGGTGTAGGATCCTAGAACTTATGTTGGACAAGTACAACACTATTACATGTCGTGTAGGGATGTTGAGCTTGTGTTAGACAAGTTAATCACTCCTACTGTATGTCATATAGGGTCTTGGAACTTTCTATTAGACAAGTACAACGACCCGTCACCAGGTCGCATAGGAACTTGGAACTTGTGTCAGACAAGTCCGCCACTCAACCAGGCGTTGCAGAGCTTCCGATCATGAGTCCACCACCGCCTACTTCAGCAGGAGGTTGTGGAGGTTTTTGATTTGCTCCGGTTGTAGCGCCAGAGTTATGGTATTGCCGGCATCTGTCGGTCCAGCCAGCGATGCCGGGACCGAGATCCGCCCAAACTGTACCAACTTTTGTTCCGTCATCGCCTGTCATTAAAAATAAAAACTTAAATATTAATTCTCAAGTCACAGTATGGCAACTCTAATGTTATGGAAGAATTATGTTGCAATATTATTAATTTCTAACTATCAGAGGAATTAAGTTACAATATCTATTACCTTCTATTACAGTGGTACCCTGATAATCGAACTTAATCTGTTCCAGGATTCTATTAGAATAGTGAGTTGTATGAATACTGAAACACTTTTTCTCATAAGAAATGATGTAAATTGAATTAATCTGTTCCAGACCCCCAAAAATTACCAATTATAAAAGTTTTCGTGAAAATATTGTGTATTTAAATGTGTATATTATTTTCATGCATAAAATCATACATGAAAACTATAAAAACAATAAAATACATGAAATAAATGAGAATTTAATGGAACTTTACCTTTACTGAGGAGTGCTGGTGGCCTAAGAGGAAGGTGGAGAGATGTTATTGTTTGGAATGTTGCCTTCCATAAAAACATCAGGTAATTGCCCATCTGGTGTTTTTTTCTCTTTTTTTGTCTCTGTGCAGCAGCACTTGAAGATGATGGGGACTCGCTAGCATCTGAGTTTTTCCTTTGCTTAAGAACCCGTTCAATGTTTGCTTTCGACGACTTTTCAAAAATTTTCTGAAGTGGTCAACAATATTGTCATTGAACAGGCCAATGCTCCTGTTCACAAGAGTAATGTTAGAATGCCATTTTTCACCAGGTTCTGTGTTTGAGCCAATGGTAACAGTTCCTTAGTTACTGCAATGGTAATGTTGCCCTTACTGCTTCCCATTCCTCCTCCGAAAAGAAAATTTCCTCAACCACGTCTCGCTGAGCTCCTTGTGTGAGTCTTGAAGTTGTTCTGTGGTGAGTTCATTCTTGTGATCCTCCACCAACTCCTCTACATCCTCACTACAGGTTCTACCTCAAAGTCTTCAAAATCTCTCTCACACAGTCTGGCCACAATTTCTTCCAGAGTTTCACCGTCCAGAAAACTTCCTCCTAGGTTTTGTCTATTATCCTTCAACACTGGAGGATATTAAAATGGTTTTTTCAAGATTCTTTATGGGTAAGCTCTGTTTCAGAGTCACTTAGAGCACCTTTTAAGCAGTGCTTTTGTGTAGTAAAGTTTCTTAAAATTGGAAAATACCTGGTGGTGTTAGGGGGCAAGAACTTCACTTTAATGAAGCCATATTCACCCACCAAATTTTCCTCCAAGCCTGGAGGGTGAGCAAGACCATTGTCCATTACCAAAAGTTCCCTTAACCCATAAATGGTCCAAACGTATATATACGTTTTTTCAACATTTGAACGTATGTAAAAAAAGTAGATCTTTTTGCTTTTTTACATTTGAAAATGTGTAAAAAAAACTTTGACCTACTTTTTTTTTTGTTATATTTGAAAATATGTAAAAAAAACGTAGATCTACTTTTGTAGCGCTACACATGTGAACGTAGATCTGCTGGGACCGTTTACAGGTACTGCTTCACACTTGATGCAAACATTCAGTGAAGAACTACCTTGTTATACAAGCTTTACTATCAGTCCTCCACATTACTATAAGTTTAATTTTTATCACACTGTTTTTCTTAAGCACCGATGGATTTTCAGAGTGGTAGATTAACATATTTTTTATTTTTTTATTATCACACTGGCCGATTCCCACCAAGGCAGGGTGGCCCGAAAGAGAAAAACTTTCACCATCATTCACTCCATCACTGTCTTGCCAGAAGGGTGCTTTACACAACAGTTTTTAAACTGTAACATTAACACCATTAACAATGGTTTAATTTTGCGGTCCCCACTAGCGTTACCGCACAACAAGTGTTAGTCTGTCTTTCATGGGCTCGTGTCTTGGCTATGATTTTTCTTGTGTGACGTAGGGTCTCTTAGCCATTCTTTTTCCAGAAGGGGACAGTTCATCACAATTAAAAACTTGAGAAATAAATCCCTCAATGTCTATATAGGTTTTAAATTCCTTAAACTTTTCAGCTTCATCTGTGTTAGCACTCGCAGCCTCCCCATGTCTTACTACACTATGAATCCCTTTTTAAACCTATCAAACCAACCCATACTTGCCTTCAATTCATCATTTTCAGCAATGTTTCGTGGGGTGACTTGCCTAAGATCACTGTATGACTAATTTTCTTTTTTACGAATTGTTTCAGAAACACCGTCACTGGCCAATTTTTTCATTAATCCACACATTTCTACAATTATTTCACTCTTTTCGTCACATCAGCCCCTTCCATCCCCTCTGTTTTTCAACATGGACAATATGGTCTATTTCACCGTAACATATTGAGCGGTCAGGACCAACACACGTGTTTCGCTTTGCAGCGACTTCTTTTTTTCACTCTAATTGTTGTTTTCACTGTTTTCCTTTTAGGTTTGTTTGGATCACTACTCTTTTTCAGGGGCCGTGATTACAGCCTCTCCTCACTTAGCAATAGAGTTGTATTCCTAAGACCTCGCTGGTAAACAAATTCATCGTTAAGTGAGGAGCATACTATAATGGTAGTGAGTTTGTGTCAACTATCTTTGATATTGTTTTAATGTCATCTTTGTACCATTTATAACATTTCTGGTATACAGTGGACCCCCGGTTAACGAACTTTTTTCATTCCAGTAGTATGTTCAGGTGCCAGTACTGACCGAATTTTTTCCCATAAGGAATATTGTGAAGTAGATTAGTCCATTTCAGACCCCCAAACATACACGTACAATCGCACTTACATAAATACACTTACATAATTGGTCGCATTTGGAGGTGATCGTTAAGCGGGGGTCCACTGTATTTTTAAATGTTTATACAGCAGTGTACTGTATGTTGTAATAAACAGAATAGAGAAAATCAGCTCTAATATACATTATTTAGGTAAGCATACTGGTCCGAGTCGTCAGGAAACGAGTATGTCGATAAGTGGGGAGAGGCTGTACATATTTTCAATGAAAATATTTAAAAACACCACAGAATAACAACGAAACACCGAAAAGTTTTATGGAGCTTGTACGAACCATGTTTAACGAATGAAAGCGTGATACTTTGTTTTCACCAAGCTTAGTCCAGATGGACCACTTTGTTTAGGTTGAATATCAGAGTTACGTCTGAATATAGAATAAAATTTTTTTTAAAAAATCTGGGCGAAAATTGAGTTGTATAAATGAAGGGATTCAGGGAAACCGGCAGGCCGGACTTGAGTCCTGGAGATGGGAAGTACAGTGCCTGCACTCTGAAGGAGGGGTGTTAATGTTGCAGTTTAAAAACTGTAGTGTAAAGCACCCTTCTGGCAAGACAGTGATGGAGTGAATGATGGTGAAAGTTTTTCTTTTTCGGGCCACCCTGCCTTGGTGGGAATCGGCCGGTGTGATAATAAAAATAAAAAAAAAAAAAAAAAAATATAGGGACATGAATAATGAGGTTCCACTGTAGTTACCTTTGTGAACTGAGGTGAAGGGAAGGTAGTGAAGGCGGTGGAGACACTGCCAGCTGGGCGCCGGGCGGCCAGTAGTCGCGTCATCTCATCCTAAACAACAACAAATTAATACAACAGAAATTCATACAACAAAAATGAATACAACAGAAATGAATTCACCGTCAGCAACAGCTGACGAATTCATAGATAAGTTAAGGAAGATAGATAGCTCTCTTGATAACCTGGAAAATCCTGCACCAAATATTATCCTCCTTAGAGATTACAATCTCCCACATGTACAATCAAAGATGGATCAACATAACATTATACCAGAAATAGTTCCTGGAAGTGTCCTGGTCAAAAAGGTACATACCAGTTGTGTCGATAATAGTATAAAACACAGGAAAGTTGATGATCTTCCATTTCACATTTGATGCAATTTAACATTCCATACTCATGCTTCAGCTTCATGTCGGTCCAGACTACGGAGCTGAACCCTTCTCCAGGATGAGGGACTGACCTCCCCTCATATCTCCAAGGTTGATGGACTGATTAAATCATCTGCTGCCTCTGTATTTCACTGAAGGAGTCTACTGTGTAGGCCAAATGTTACAACAACGAAGATACTGAACTGCTGCACGTGTGTTAATCAACAGGTAAATACCAGCTAACGAACGAGGCTTTGTATAAAGTTCACAATAAACCAACAGATAACTGATCCAACTAGAAACAAAAAATACCGTCGATCTGATATTCACAAACAACGAGGAATTATTCAGACACATAACAATTACACTAACAATATACCCTGACCACAACATTACAGAAATACAAATGAGTATTAACTCAGGGTTGGGGAACTACACCACTAATGTAAGAGAAGGGATGTTCAGTAAATTTAATTTCAATAACCATAGAACTGACTGGGACAAAATATAGCAAAACCTATCAGGCATATCTTGGGAAACAGACATAAGCATCCTGAATATAGAAGCATAAAAGGTCTGTAGAAGATCAGATATAGAAAGTATAGATGGTACAAAAGAAGAAAATGGGTTACTGAACTGCTCAGAAACATAAATATGTCACAACAAAAAAAAGATAGTCTTAGCCAAGAGATCATTGAATTAGAGTAAAATCTTATGATGTCATACTAAACAGAGGAAGCACAAAGGGAACAAAAGGCTATCCAGGATACTGAAAAAAAACAAAAACATTTTAATTCATATTCAAAATACTAGCTAAGAACTACCAGAAGAATTGGACCATTAATGAGACGACACTTGTATACAGGCAGGCCCCGTTTTACAGCAGCTTGCTAATGCAGCGGTTTTCAATTACGTATACCCGTTTTTCATTTACTCAGACTTCCTACAATAAATATATTCACCGCTCACTATAAGCTAAGGACCAAAATATTTTAAGGTAAGTAATGTGTGTACTGTATATGCATTTTATAGGTCTAGTTTTATTGCTCACTTAATCCTTAAACTCTCCAAACGTAGATCTACGTTTAAATGCGTAGCGCTCCGACCCTGATTTTCTCCATTTGAAAGCACGTAAAAAAACGTAGATCTACGTTTGGACAGTTTAAGGGTTAATACATGACAGCATAAATGTGTTATCAGGCTAAAAGCCTGATAACATATTTGAAAGTGAAGGAAGGGCTATGCTTTGCTTAACAGTGGCAGCCTGAAACCTAACCTGCTGTATAAGTGGGGCCCTACAGTAACCCAGAACCTAACCTGCTGTATAAGTGGGGCCCTACAGTAACCCAGAACCTAACCTGCTGTATAAGTGGGGCCCTACAGTAACCCAGAACCTAACCTGCTGTATAAGTGGGGCCCTACAGTAACCCAGAACCTAACCTGCTGTATAAGTGGGGCCCTACAGTAACCCAGAACCTAACCTGCTGTATAAGTGGGGCCCTACAGTAACCCAGAACCTAACCTGCTGTATAAGTGGGGCCCTACAGTAACCCAGAACCTAACCTGCTGTATAAGTGGGGCCCTACAGTAACCCAGAACCTAACCTGCTGTATAAGTGGGGCCCTCCTGTACTGATGATGAAGAGGATACGAGTGAAATCCTAACAGAACAGTATGAGTCAGTGCTCAGCAACCTACTAAATGACAGGATGATTGAGAAGGAAGAGACTTTTTTCAGCACTCTGAAGGAGGGGTGTTAATGTTGCAGTTTAAAAACTGTAGTGTAAAGCACCCTTCTGGCAAGACAGTGATGGAGTGAATGATGGTGAAAGTTTTTCTTTTTCGGGCCACCCTGCCTTGGTGGGAATCAGCCAGTGTGATAATAAAAAAAAAAAAAAAACATCGGAAAGTAGCGCAGATCAATTAACTGACATTAGTAATAGTCCCATAGAATTTGAAAAATAAACCAGAAAACATACCCACTCATTCAGCACCTGGACCAGATTCATTAAATTCCCTATTCATAAAAAAGTGCGAAGCACCCCTAGGAGGAGCCCTCAGTATTCTTTCGAGAAAGAGCCTAGAGCTAAGTGAAATACCAGACCTTAAAGAGTACAGACATAGCCCCTTTGCATAAGGCAGGCAATAGAGAAACAGCTAAAAATTACAGACCAGTAGCCCAAACTTCCCACATAATAAAAATCTTGGAAAGTGATGAGACTGCAGATTACAAATTTCATGGACCAGCACAACTGACACAACCCAAACCAGCATGGTTTTAGAGCAGAACGATCATGCCTGTCACAGCTGCTGAACCACTATGATATAATTACGGAGGCATTGGGAGACAACCAAAATGCAGATGCGATACACAGATTTTGCAAAGGCAGTTGACAAATGTGATCATGGGGTGGTTGCACACAGCCTTAGAAGGAAGGTAGGCAGATGGATTTTCAGGTTTCTAAGACACACAACACAAAGTAGTAGTAAACAGAGCAAAAATCCCAATTTTGTATCCAAGTTGGACTGAAACGTCGTCGTAAGCTTCTCTCTTTTATGTGCGGGTTATTTGTGTATGAAAGTCACTATGGTAGAAGATACTAAAAAATAAGCAGTGTTTTCCAGTGGGCAGGAAGAATATGATGTTCACTGGTGATGAGTTTCAGCTGATTAGATATGGAAAAAATGAACTCAAAAGGAACACACTGTACATAAATCTCAAGAGGATCATCAAATAGGATGAAAGGGACATGTGAAAGACTTGGGAATAATTATGTCAGCTGACCTTTCTTTCAAAGAACATAAGACAAAGATAACGACAGCCAGGAGGATGATAAAAAACCTTCAAAACTAGGGAAATAATGCCAATGGTGACACTTTTTAAATTGCTCGTGCTTCCTCATTTGTAATATTGCAGGAGAGATATCAGAACTGGAACAAATACAAAGATTGTTTACGGAACACACAGAGCTAATTTTTTTTTTTTTTTTTTTATTATCACACTGGCCGATTCCCACCAAGGCAGGGTGGCCCGAAAAAGAAAAACTTTCACCATCATTCACTTCACTCCCATTACTGGGAACGCCAAAACATACCGGAGAGAGTTGTTAGGTAAGACATATATGCAACAGTTACGTATCTTTATTTTGAAATAAAGATACGTAACTGTTGCATATGTGTCTTACCTAACAACTTGTCGGTATTTTATACCATTTGAATGTTCATACTGGAGAGAGATATGGGAGGAAGTGTAAAATAAACCCAGAAAAAAGCAGGGGAGAAGTAAGGAGAATAAGAGAACACTATCAACATCCATGATCCTAGATTATTCAACATCTTACCACAAGATATCAGAAACACTGCTGGAACAAGTGCAGAAGTCTTCGAGGTATCAGAAACACAACTCCTGATATTAAAAACCACTGCATTAGTAGTACTTCTGACTTTATTAATACCAGCTGCACAAGACATTAAAAACGATTTTCAATGATTAACGTAATTTAAGTGAACATTGAGTACAATAGTACACTGAGTACAAAGTTGAGTACATTAAGGAGTATTTACTAGCATTATTCTCTTAATGAACACTTAGGCAATAGTCTTATATCCAATGTACAGTATACACCAAGTAGATAACCACCATCTACCACTAAATCAACCACAGCTACCAGTATCTACCACAACTACAACTACCAGCCTACCTGTAGTTTAGCGATTTCCTTGTTGAGAGAGTCGAGTTTGTTGCGATGATTGACGATGTGAAACATTGGAGAGTCGGAGCCGGTGGGCAGCGGAGTGCCTGCCTTCCGCTTGCTTAAATCAACCACCTCCACCCCAACCATCAATTCGTTCGCTTCCTGTCATCAACCACAACAACGACGACAGTCAATTAATTAAATATGTAACATTATACAGTCGATTCTCTTACAAAGCTCTTTTATATACAGTCAGTTCTCTTATAAAGGACTTCACAGCACTGCTGTCCGATTAAGGAACAACTTTCAATCTAAAAAAAAAAAAACATCAGAGTTCAAAGAGTCGTTACGGGGGGAAGCTGCAACTCCTTGGGTCAAGAGCTGGAATTCTTGATCAAAGGAGTTGCATTTTATTATTATTATTATTATTATTTTTTCAACAAACCGGCCATATCCCACCAAGGCGGGGTGGCCCAAAAAGAAAAACAAAAGTTTTCTCTTTTCAAATTTAGCAATTTATACAGGAGAAGGGGTTACTAGCCCCTTGCTCCCGGCATTTTAGTCGCCTCTTACAACACGCCATGGAGATAAGGGGAAATAAACAAGAACAAGAACTAGAAAGAAAATAGCAGAAAACCCAGAGGGGTGTGTATATATATGCTTGTACATGTATGTGTAGTGTGACCTAAGTGTAAGTAGAAGTAGCAAGACGTACCTGAAATCTTGCATGTTTATGAGACAGAAAAAAGGACACCAGCAATCCTACCATCATGTAAAACAATTACAGGTTTTTGTTTTACACTCACTTGGCAGGACGGTAGTACCTCCCTGGGCGGTTGCTGTCTACTAACCTACTACCTTTATTATTATTTATTATTATTATTATTATTATTATTATTATTATTATTATTATTATTATTATCATCATCATCATCATCATCATTAGACTCAGATGTGTTCTCAATATCCAAAAATTTTCAAAATTATTTTCTTCTTCTGAAATGGTCAAGAATGAAATCTGATGTTAAACTTACGGAATTACATAATCATAAGGTCAACAGCCTAAGCAGAGTTCATGCACAAGCAATTTTGCCTGCTCTGAGGCCTATTTTAGGTCAATTTCATTGTTCCAGACAACCAAATTCTTACCGATTTTGCTAGTACAGTGGACCCCCGGTTAACGATATTTTTTCACTCCAGAAGTATGTTCAGGTGCCAGTACTGACCGAATTTGTTCCCATAAGGAATATTGTGAAGTAGATTAGTCCATTTCAGAACCATAAAACATACACGAACAAACGCACTTACATAATTACACTTACATAATTGGTCGCATTCAGAGGTAATCGTTATGCGGGGGTCCACTGTATACCTTCCATTCCATAGATTGAGCACAAGAAACCGACCATTCAATTTCTTCAGCTGCTCAATAAAGAGGTCAGAAGTTGGCAATCTGGCCACTTTTACACAAAATTATAAAACTTCCAGTTTAAAAATAGAGTGCATAATATAGAGTGCAAGTATTCCTGGCACTACAACATGTCCTCAGGCCTCTCCTGTATCACACTACACTCCATTTTAAATTCTTATTCACACAATACCAGAAGATTTATTCTATTTATTGAATAAAATAAAACCAGGAAAGATTGTTCATGATTTAGTGTCCCAATAAATTAATCAGACCTATTAAAAACTTATAAGACAGACTAGGGGTTGAAGGGGGCCCTACCCATCCTTTGAAATACAGTGGACCCCCGGTTTACGATGTTTTTTCATTCCAGAAGTATGTTCAGGTGCCAGTACTGACTGAATTTGTTCCCATAAGGAATATTGTGAGTTAGATTAGCCCATTTCAGACCCCCAAACATACACGTACAAACGCACTTACATAAATACACTTACATAATTGGTCGCATTGGGAGATGATCGCAAACCGGGGGTCCACTGTATTGGCAAAAATCTAATATTTCCACTACTTTGGGCTTAATTTTAAGATACTTCCAGTGTTAAACCAATAAAAATCATCTGTTATTTTTACTAATATTTCTTCCATTTTAAAGAATATCAAGAAACAGTCAATAAAACCATAAAAACCAACCTAGAAAAACCCTCAAGTTGCTATTTTAAACCAAACTCATGGTCATAGTTTTGAGTTTCCCATCATGCACCACTTGGGGCAGGATTTTTTTTATACAGTTCAAACTAACCACACAAACCCATTCTCTCATATCTAGGACAAAAATTAACCAGATCTCATGATTTAGATCTAGGTCAAGGACCCTAAGTTCAATGATTTGGAGCTGTGTCAGGGATCCTAAGCTCAAGAACTTACACTTAGGTCAGGGACCCTAAACTCAATAATAGTAATAAATTTTTTTTTTTTTTTTTAACACGTCGGCCGTCTCCCACCTAGGCAGGGTGACCCAAAAAAGAAAGAAAATCCCCAAAAAGAAAATACTTTCATCATCATTCAACACTTTCACCTCACTCACACATAATCACTGTTTTTGCAGAGGTGCTCAGAACACAACAATTTAGAAGTATATACGTATAAAGATACACAACATATCCCTCCAAACTGCTAATATCCCAAATTTATTTTAGTATAATACACGTTTGTACAAAGGAGTATAACAGTTGGGCGTACATGTCAAAAGCCTCTTTACATGCAGAGCATTTTGGGCAAACTTAAGACTAACTCAAGATTAATAAGGCAATAACAGTGCAGTAATTGTACATATGGTTAAAAGGTGAGCTACAGTGAATACAGGAAAACTGAATATTCTGTTAGTTCATGTTATATGGCTTTAATAAGTTTAGTAGAGAAGAATTACAGTTTTGATTATTAACCCTTTGAGGGTCGACAGGCCCTCTCCGAAACTCGTTCTCAGGGTCGGCCAAATTTCAAAAAAAAAAAAAAATTATTTTTTCTTATGAAAAAATAGAGTTTTTTTTCTAAACATTATAGGATAAACAAAAAAAATTTAACATCAATACTTACGGAGATATGGATGCATGAAGTTTGCAGAAAATGAGCCGCGTATGGCAACAGCGGCGACTGCCGCTCACCCGGTAAACTTTAGTTTACTTGTATTTGAAGGTTTGTTGCTTTTTTCACTATTTTATTTTTTCACATAACTTATGTGGCCTATGAGACCAAAGTAAGGTGCAATGTACATATATACACTCGTTGTATACAACACAATAAGCACACAAACATAATTATCAATATATTGTTTACAAAACTTGTTTACAAAAACAAACAATACAAAAAATTGTTTATTATTATTGTTCTATAATATATATACAGGAAGGCCCCGCTTTACGGCGTTCCGCTAATACGGACATTTCAAATTATGACCAAAACTCACTATACGGCTCCCCCCACCTGACTTTCTAATACGGTCACCGTGCCCCACCCTGTTTGTTTACATTCTCCATGAGCTCAGTAAGCACTAAGTCTCTCCATTTTGTCTGGAAACTCCAAAATTTCAAATGTTTTTAAAAGTTATTTCATATTTTATATATACTCTGATAATTATACTTATGTATACCTGTACCTAAATAAACTTACATACATCGAGTCATTTAAATGTCGTATATTACGTTAATATACACATTTTCATTAATCCATCCATGATATTTTTTTCAAAATTATATAATAAACACGATGCATAACATATAAATAAGATAAATACACCCCACAGTAGAATAAATAAACATAAATGTGAGATGTGAGCAGACGACTTCCACAAGTGACGCCATAATAACAATACTCACCGAGTCTCATTAAATGTCGTATATTACGGTAATATACACATTTTCATTAATCCATCCATGATATTTTTTTCAAAATTATATAATAAACACGATGCATAACATATAAATAAGATAAATACACCCCACAGTAGAATAAATAAACATAAATGTGAGATGTGAGCAGACGACTTCCACAAGTGACGCCATAATAACAATAGTCACCGAGTCTCATTAAATGTCGTATATTACGTTAATATACACATTTTCATTAATCCATCCATGATATTTTTTTCAAAATTATATAATAAACACGATGCATAACATATAAATAAGATAAATACACCCCACAGTAGAATAAATAAACATAAATGTGAGATGTGAGCAGACGACTTCCACAAGTGACGCCATAATAACAATAGTCACCGAGTCTCATTAAATGTCGTATATTACGGTAATATACACATTTTCATTAATCCATCCATGATATTTTTTCAAAATTATATAATAAACACGATACATAACATAAAAAGATGATAAATACACCCCACAATAGAATAAATAAACATAAATATAAGATGTGGGAGCCTGGTTTGTTTACATAACTCTGCGCCTGTCACCTCTCATGTACTCATTCTTTCTCTCTCTCATTTATTCGTTTTATCTCATTTACTTACTCCTGACCCTACATTAAGACTACAAATATTTTAAGGTAAGTAATGAGTGAACTGTATATACATTTTATCGCTCTGGGATGCTTAAATATCATAGAATAGTATGTGTGGGTGGGGTGGCCTGGTAAGGTAGCCTGGCTATTACAATACATACCACACTTGATTTCTTACAATAAATACTACTTGTCTCACCCTAGATTAAGACTATAAATATTTTAAGGTAAGTAATGAGTGCACTATGTGTGTATTGTACTTTTTTATTGTTTTTTGATGCCTGGTTCTATTGCTAACATAATATATGTTAGTGTAAACTTGTTATCTAGTGTTTGTATGCATTTGTAAGTGGAAAAAAAGGGTGTTCCACTTTACGGCGGTTTCCGCTTTACGGCGGTAGCCTGGAACCTAACCCGCCGTATAAGTGGGGCCTTCCTGTACCAATATACAGCCACTGAACATATTCCTATTAGTTCTGCAGCTTGTGGAACTCTGAAATATGGTGTCATACACAATGGTGTTTTATCTTTCTCCCTCATTCTATCTCTTTCAATCTGTCTCTCTCTTTCTATCTGTCTATCTCTGTCTCACAGGTACACATAAATACAAGTATACATAGTATAAATTACCTAGGATAACCCAAGAAATCCAGACAAAGTGCTATACTCTGCTTGAAGATGTGAGTAAAAGTGATGACATAGTCTTGTGGCTCTCTGAGACAGAGAGCTAGACGGATAG